CGGACCCAGAGAATGAAAGCGCCTCAGGAGACCAAATATGGAGGTTCCATAGGATCCTCCTTATAAATGGCTGTGTCTCTTAGTTTAGTGTCATTAGAGACTTAAGGAACTCAAGAAGATATTGCATTTACCTACTGCACTAACTTCAGATCATAGAATTTAAAGGTGGAAAAAATCATAAAGAACAACTCAGAGGCCGTGTGATATAGTAGAAAGAGTCTGCTGGACTTGGAATCTGGAAAAGCTGTGGTCCAGTTCTACAGACCCAGTGAAAGCTGACATAATCTTGTAAGTGCTTTGCTTCGATAATCTTGAATCATAGAATTTGAAAGGATCTCAGTGGCCATCTAGTCCAACCCATGCATAAAGGGAATCCTTGTTCTAACACATACAACACATTCTAGCCTCAGCTTGAAGAGCTCCAGTGCTTGTATTGGTGGTGCCTCCAAAGGTAGCACATCCTACTTTTGGACACCTCTAAATTTTAGGAAATTTTCCTTGACATTAAGCCTAAATTCGCCTCTTTGCAACTTTCCATTTATTGCCCCTGGTTCTGCCCTCAAAGAACAAATCTGATCTCTCTTCCACATGATGTTTTTTCAGATATTTGAAGACAGTTATCATGTCAACCTTGAATCTTTTGCTCTCTAGGCTGAACATTCCTAGTGCCTTCTACCAGTCCTACCTAATTTGGACTTAAGGCCCTTCAACATCCTTCTGGCCCTTCCCGGGATGCTCTCTACTTTACTTAAAGTGTTGCTCCCAGAGCAGAACACAACTCTCCAGGTGTGATAAAGTACTCCAGGGCAAAGTACAAGGGATTATCATTTCCTTATTCTTGGAAGCTATACCTCTTTTGATGTAGCCCAAGATGGAATTGGCTTTTTTGGCTGTCACATCATATTGTTTAGTTATATGTAGTTTACAGTCTACTAAAACTTTTGGATCTTTTTCAGACCAGCTATTGAGGAGAATTATTGGATCATCGATCACACATACACACTCACACGTGTGTGTGTGACAGAGAGATGGAATATAAAATACTTTAATAATATAATACTATATAATAAAATATATAATTATATAATATGATAGATCAATATATTTTAATATCTTGCTATTGACACATACATCTTATTTATATATGATCATATAATTTATATTTGTATATGCATATGTGAATATATATATGTGTGTATATATGTGTATATGTATATACATATATATGTACATAATATTATTAATGATCCAATAATTTCCTTCCAAAGACACAGTTAACTCAGTAGCTGGTTTGAAACAGACCTGAAGGTTTTAGTTGATTGTAAACTAGATATGAGTAAGCAGTATGATGTAACAGCCAAAAAAGTTAATAAATGTATTAAAATATTATATATATTTAATGTTATATACACACATGTATGTATATGTAAAGTGAACTATGAATTTGCTAGAATTATTGATTTAACAGCTTTTAAGCTCTTTGCTATCATACTTCTCCCTAACACCCACCCCAAAAAGCATTTAGTTTCAAAACTGTTGTACTGTTCAGGATGTTCAGTTTAGGTTAAAACTGGGAAGTTCCCCCCCCGCCCCCAATAAGTATTTACCATTTCTTTACATTATACTAATATATTTTATGTGACCTTGCACATTGGGTCTTGCCCAACTAGTATATCACCTCTTCCAAAGGGACATTTCCAGTACTTTAATGGCTTGAGGATTTTATTGATAAAATTATTCCTTTTGTCTTTGTAAGTAATGTGCCATTTCTGATCTGTTCTTGTCCATGGCCTTCCCTAAATCATCAACAGAAGAGATACCCAATAGACTATGGGACATCTTTAGTTCTTTTAAATTTCTTTGGGCACTAGTACAGTACTAGTTGTCTGAATTTTATCTTCTAAGAACTTTATCATTATTAGAGCAGTTAGAAGGATTCTGCATAGAAAAAGGCTGTGGGAGTGAGTCAATTATGTTGGGATGAAGTAAGAAAAAAATGGATAGGTGAAAAAGAGGGATTCCCTGGGTTAAGGGGAAGGGAGAAGAATGGGAAAATTATCTCACATAAAAGAGGTATGAAACAAAGATTTTTACAGTGGAGGGGAAGATGGGGTGGTGGGCAATGCCTGAACCTCACTCACATCTAAATTGGTTCAAAATGGGAATTAGTTAATCTCTCTCTCCCTCTTTTTCTCTCTTTCTCTCTCTCTAGCTGTATATGTATGTGTGTATACACGCACACTAAATTGGTAATAAAAATCTGTCTTCCCAACAGGGAAGTAGGAGGGGAAGGGAATAAGAGAAAAGTGGAGTGGTAATAAAAGGGAAGGCAGATGAAGAAGGCAGTGGTCAGAAGCAAAACAGATTTTAGAAGAGAGAGAAGAATAAATAAAAAAAATAGGATTGAGGGAAATGCAGTTAGTAGTGATAACTGTAAATGTGAATGGAATGAATTCACTCATAAAATGGAAGCAGATAGCAGAGTGAGTTACAAATTAGAACCCAAGAATATGTTGTTTACAAGAAACACTTGAAACAGAGACACTCAGAAAAATAAAGGGCTGGAGCAGAATCTATTATGCCTCAGTTGAAGTAAAAAAAAGGCAGGGGTAGAAATCATGATCTCAGACAAAACAAAAGCAAAAATAGACCTAATTAAAAGAGATAAGGAGGGAAACTACATTTTGCTGCATGATACCATAGATAATGAGGTAATATTAATGATAAATATATATGCACCAAATGGCATAGCATCCAGATTCTTAAAGGAAAAGTTAAATGAATTATAAAAGGTAATAGACAGTAAAACTGTACTGGTGGGGGATCTCAACCTTCCCCTTCTCAGATAGATAAATCTATTATCAGTTAGATAAATCTAATCATAAGATAAATAAGAAATCAAGGAGATGAATAGAATCTTAGAAAAGTTAGATGTGATAGGCCTCTGGAGAAAAATAAATAGGAATAGAAAAGAATGTACCCTTTTCTCAGCTGTATATGGCACCCTCACAAAAATTGGCCATGTATCAGGGCGTAAAAACCTCACAATCAAATGCAGAAAAGAAGAAACATAAAATGTATCCTTTTCAGACCATAATTCAATAAAAATGACATTTAATAAAGGGCTATGGAACCATAAATTAAAAGCTAATTGGAAACTAAATAATCTAATCCTAAAGAATGACCAGGTAAAAGAACAAATCTAGAAACCATCAATAATTTCACTAAAGAGAATGGCAAAAATGAGACATTACAAAATTTGCGGGATGCCATCAAAGCGGTACTTGGGAAAATTATGTCACTAATTATATACATCAGTAAAAGAGAGAGCAGATCAATAAATTGGGCATGCTACTAAAAAAACTAGAAAAAGAACAAATTAACAATCTCCTATTAAACACCAAAATGGAAATCCTGAAAAATCAAATGAGAGATTAATAAAGTTGGAAGGAAGAAAACTATTGAACTAATAAAATTAGCAGCTGGTTTTATGAAAAAAAAAATAAACCAATGGTTAATTTGATTTTAAAAAAGAAAACAAGTTACTAGTATCAAAAATGAAAACAGTAACTGCACCACCAATGAAGATGAAATTAAAGCAATTATTAGGAATTATTTGCCCAATTATTTGCCAGTAAAGCTAATAAACTAAGTGAAATGGGCAAATATTTATAAAAATGTAAACTCAGACTAACATTAGAGGAAATAGAATACTTAAATAACCCTATTTTAGGAAAAGAAATTGAACAAGCCATCAATGAACTCCCTAAGAAAAAAATCTCAGATGGATTAACGAGTAAATGCTGCCAACATTTAAAGAACAGTTAATCCCAATACTATGCAAACTTTGGGGAAAAAAATAGATAAAGAAGTCCTACTTAATTCCTTTTATAACGCAAAGATGGTTTTGATACCAAAACCAGGGAGAGCAAAAACAGAGAAAGAAAACAATAGACCACTTTCCTTAATGAATAGGTGGATATATCTCAAAATTTTGAATAATTGTTTCGTCCATAGAATAAAAGATAGTGAATACTACTATTACAATTACTACTCCATATTTATGCAGGGTGTCTCAAAAACCTTACTACAGTTTTAAGCTTTTATAGCTTAAATGTGTACCACAATGCCATTAAAGCTTAAAACTGCATTAAGACTTTTGAGACATTCTATAAAGTGTCAATCCCAAAAAATAGGCAGTGTTGTTATCATCCCGATTTGACAGATGAGAGAGCTGAGACTCCCAGTATTACCTAGAGGCAATACTCTAACCAAGGTCTCCTGACTTCAGGTCTAATGTTGTTTCTGTTGTATTGTCAATTCTAAGTGAGTAATGTAAAAATGGGAGAATAGGGACTAGTTTGAACATACATATTTTCGTATCATTGGGTGAAGAAAGTTAGTCTGACTTCAGAATAGAAGAATTCCTTGCTTTTATATTTGAATATGATGCTACTAATAGTCTTTTTACTGTGTTGAATAGCAGTGGTTTAAAAAAAAAAGAATGGTAGACTCTAATTATTCTCATTATTAAGTAGTAGTGTTGTTGTTCAGTCACGTCTGACTCTTCACGCCCTCGTGGATTATACTCACCTTGGGATTTTCTTGGTAAAGATACTGGTTTGCCATTTCCTTCTCCAGTAGATTAAGGCAAATAGACTTGCTCAGGGTCACATAACTAGTAAATGCCCGAGGCTAGATTTAAACTCAGGTCTCCCTGACTTTAGGCCCAATGCTCTGTCCATTGAGCCACCTAACTATTGGTTAAATGGCTGTAACTAGAATTTTGCTTTTTTAAAATAGAATACAGTTTGAAAAAATGTTTTCCTTTTATCTTAAAAATCTACCTAAATTTTTTCAGTTGTGATATAATATAGGAATGAATTGTGTTGGTTAGTTTCAAGATAAAATTATATTGTCTATCAGTAAGGATCGTTCTTTGGAAGGATTTTTTTTTTTTGCCTTGCCTTTCATTGCTTTTTATTTTCCCATTTATCCAGGAAAGCAAACCAATAGAACTCAACAGATGACACCTTGGCTATTCAGTGACAAAGGAATCATGTGCTTAAAATCTAACAACATAATCTTTGCCTATTCAGATAAAATGAAAAGTTACAGGTACGTTTATTAACCAGTCAGTATCATTACTTATTTGGAGGAGAAGTGTAATGATTTATTGTAATCATAATAATTTATCATCTCACTTGGCAGTGAGATTATGTTTGCTAATTTGTCCTTATGTGATAGTCAAATACTTTGATTGAGGGGTTTCTTATTTTTTAAAATTAGAACGCAGAATTCATATGTCACTTTTTCTTTGAGTATTTTGTTAGAGTTATGTAATAATGTCACATTATTTTGGTCAAAGAGAAAATGTGTATGTATACAGTTAATATTAAATTAGGAACTTTTACATAATTGTGTTAGTTTTACAAAATGAAATTTATAATTTTATGAAAAATATTATTTAGATTGGGCTCTATTTTCCAAGTGTCTAGCCTTGCTTCCTGCATAAGGGTCTTTTTGAAGTAATCGGCTAATGAAGAATGAAAAAAGGTAGATGAACATAATATTAAGGAAGAGTTCTACCTGTATCTTAAAAGGACATGTGTGTTGTATACCTAGCCTTCAGGATTTACAGATATTGCTGAACATAATGTGACATGCTAAAGCCTAACTGGCATCACCCAACATTTCATAAATTAGAATTTCACTGTAATGGATTTTACTCTGCTACAGCATGGAACTCAAAATGGTACAGGTACCTTTTAGATCCCATTTTTTTTTTTTGCTAGGCAGTGGGATTAAATGACTTGCCCAGAGTCACACGGCTAGTAAGTGTTATGGCTGGACTTGAACTCGGGTCCTTCTGACTCCGGCGCCGGTGCTCCATCCACTGTACCATCTAGCTTCCCCCCTGGATCCCAAATTTTTAAGACTTTTGGAAAATTACAAACATTTAATGGTCTTATTCATAGGATCAGGTAGGAGCTTCCTGAAAGGTTTGATGAGTTGTGTGTCCAAACTAACCCAACATAGTCCTAAGGTTTTGTGTCAAATAAACATAGCAATTATCTGTAGCCTAGCTCTCTTGGAAGGACTAGAGAATGCAATTTTGTAGGTTTATACTACACAGTGTCTGGTGATTTTCTTTCGTTAGAGGACCCATTCCCCAGACATTGGGGCTCAGCAGCACATGCTGCATTCATTCCCTTTTGCCCAAATTTGCCAGAAATTGTATTATCCACTGGGCTTTTCAGAATCATCATGGTGCTGTCTGGTGGCATGAGCCTGGAAAGCCTCAAATTAGTAGAAGTAACTTAGGTGGAAAGTAAACTTTTTTCTGTACTTAAGGGCACAGTGAAAATATGTTGTTATAAAAGATTTGATTTCAAAGGAAATCAGCCACAGTGATATTAACAGAGCTCCCTCATAAAACAAAGGGATATAGGGGTTTTGTATTTTATGAACTATAAGTAAGAATGCACTATTATCCATGTAATGTTTTGAAGACTTTTAGCATTTCATATGTTCATTATTTTTATTCTTCAGGTATGTTGGAATGAGATTGTACAGCACTTCAAAAACAGTGGATCCAAAAGAGATGAAAACATTTAAGGCCCTGGCATACAAATGGTGGGATGAACAAGGAGCATATGCACCTCTTCATTCTATGAACGACTTAAGGGTGCCATTTATTAGGTACTATTTGGCAAACTCTTAGTCTTCTTAAATGATACTGTTTAGTGCTTGATATTCTGTTAAGTTTGTTTTCTCTTAATATATACTCAACTTCATAAGTATAAATTGTGTGCAAAAATGCACAGAAAAAGACACATTGTTATTATGCCTTTGAAGTTAGAATCTCTACAAAGCTATATGAATATTTTTGTTATTTTATTATATGATCAATAATGTTACCTAATATGATAATCTTTTCTGTAGTACCTCATAAAGTACCTTACAACCCAGACTTTCTAATTCCTGTTCTTCTGATTTTTTGTAAGACCCTCATTTCATTTCAGTTCAGCAAACTTTTCCCCTAACCATACTTAAAATTTTTTTTAAAATTTATTTATTTTTAGTTTTCAATATTCACTTCCACAAGTTTTTGAGTTCCAAATTTCTCCCCCCTCCCCCCACCCCAAGATGGCATGCATTCTGAATACCCCTTCCCCTGGTCTGCCTTCTCTTCTACCTCTCCCCCCTCCCTTCTCTTATCCCCTTCCCCTTCTATTTTCCTGTACAGCAGAATAGACTTCTGTACAAAAATTTTTTTTTACAATTCAGTCCTCATCTCCACCTTCTGACTTCTCTAGCGTCCCATCTAAAATCCCACCTTCTACAAGAAGCCTTTCTAGGCATAGGAGACAGCTAGTGAAAATGCAGAGTCCGGATATGGAGTGTCTTTTTCAAGGAAGAGCAAGATATCTGGGTGATATAAGATGAAGAGGAGGGAGAGAAAAAGGAACTTTTAGTGAATGACCTGAGTTTTTTCAGTAAAAGGTGAAGCAAGGTTCTTAGCTATGAGAGTAAGGGTAGGGGAATTTTGGGAGATTTGAGGGATGAAAAGGATTGGGAAAGCTACTGTAGTGAGTGAGATGGTGAGTCAATTAGGGAGATGTAAAAGGATTGCCTTGCTATGGTGAGAGCCCACTTGAGATTATGTAACATAAATTTGTAGTGTTCTCATTCACCATAGTTTGTTCAGCAGCACATGAGTAGCAGCAAAGTTGTAGATAGGGTAAGGGACAAGGGACTTGAGAGAAGAGGACAAGGTAGAGTTGAACTGGTTCAAAATGGGGAAGGGAGGAGAGAGGACCTAGTACAGTAGTGATGGCTTGGAAAAGAATAGAGGTGTGAGGATTAGAGGCCACAGTGAGGATGAAGAACTTTCAAAGGCAGAGGCAGAAGTAGATAACAAGTTTGTGATCAGATAAGGAAATTTGCAAATTCACGAACATGTAAGCAGTGCATTTGTGGGTGATGGCAAGATCAAGGGTCTGACCATCTCTGTGTGTAGCTGATATGAGTTGAAGAACTGGGAGGTTAGGGTGTTAGAGGGACTATAATTATAAATGTTGAAGTCTTCTAGTGTGAGGACTGGAATTGGAGAGGAGAGAAAGATTTTGAGCCAGGCACTGAACTCATTGAAGAAGGAAAGGGAGTGTCCCGGAGGTCAGATTTTTTGATTGGGTAGTAGGTATGGACTGAGTGAACCTCAAAGGAGAAGTGAATTACTGAGTGATGGTGGTAAAGTGGAAGCTTGAAAGTGGCATTGAGGAGCAAGAAGTATGCCAACTTCCCTACCATGACCAGTGAGTTGGGGGGAATAAGTGAAAGTGTAAATGGTGCTAAGAAGGGAGATTAGGAAGGCTGTGTCATCAGGAGGGAGCTAGGTCACTTAACTCCAATTGCCTAAAAAAAAAATTATTCAACCCTCTCTAACCCAGTCTTTCCTTGTTTGTAAAATGAATCTTGGTGGATGATCTCTGAGATCCCTTCCAGCTCTAAGGATCAATGACTATGATTTTTAACTTCCTTTCCTTGTATGGGGATTATTTGGGGTTCGAAGGTACTATTGTTCCCTTTGTACTCATTTTCTCATTTTGCTTTGGAGGCTCCTAAACCTTTTTTTGGTTTTGTACCATCTAGGCTATATCATTCCACCCCTTCCCCTATTCCCCAAACATCTTTTCAGTGAGTGTTTCTTCTTCCATTCTTCTTATTAGGACTACTGTGACCATTCTTTGGATTAATCCCAGAAATGCCCAACAGGCATACTGTTGTTGCTTTTTAAAATTTGCTTACATAAAACAGACTTCCTTACACGTACTATCTGAAAACAATAGCAAATTGACAGAGTGGTAGGGTGTTTTGTGAAAGTTGATGCTTTGTGATTGATTGTAGAATTTTTGAGATAGTCCACCTGCTCATTTTACTGATGAGGAAACAGACCATGGAAATATAAATGACTTGATGTGTGATTTTAATCATTTAAACTTCACTGGGCTTCAGTTTACGTATCTGTAAAGTAAGAGAGTTGCACTACATGGTCTTTGAGGTCCCTTCCAAGTGATTTGTATAATTAAAGTGTAATTTTTTCACGTTATTTTTCTTGCTTTTGGGGGGGTCAGTATGGCTAATATGGAAACCTGTTTTGCATGATTTCACATATTCAATTGATACCACATTGTTTGCCTTCTCAGTCAGTGGGAGAAGGGAGAGAAAGAGAGAATTTGGAACTCAAATCTAGAAAAAAAAGTCATAAATAAATAAATAGGAAATAATGCACAGTAAGCAAGTGTCAGATTAGGGACCAGAAACCCAGGTCTTCTGATTTTATCACTGTTTTTTCTCCATAGCTTTTCTGCATTATGGCTGTGGAGAAGGCAAATTTCATGCTCTTCTTATAATTCTTTAAAAGCATCACGTTTTGGTAATACGCGACAGCATCTTTGTACCCATTGTTAGTCTTTTCAGTTTTTTCGGTTTGGGATTTTTTTTTTGTAATTTTAATTTTTCTGAGATTGGGGTATACTATGATTTATGGCTGCATTATAGCAACAGTATATTCTGAGAGGCATGGTGGTAAATAGATAGAAAACTGGCTTTGGAGTCAAGAAGACATGAGTTCTGGTACTGCCTTTGCCACATATTTACTGTATGATCTGGGCAAGTACCTTAACCTCTCAATGCTCTAAGCAATTGTCTAAGACTATACATTGTAGAGAAGGTGCTGACTTGCATTGGTAAAGGAGTGCCCTATGACATTGAAATCATTTATCATTTAATAACAGAATATTGGTGTTAAAAAGATGGAGCTCTTTGGTAGTCTTCAGTATGGTTTAAAAAACCCAACACTTTGTGTTATCATTAGCTTTTCTACCCAACCTCACTTCATTTTGAGTTTTCACACTCCTGAAACTAATTTTATAGGACTTACTACATCTTTCTATTTATTCTTTGTTACCTGTCTTTCTTTTTATCTTCTGCACATGTCTTAAGAGTTAAGTTTTTTTGGTGAGTTCTTTGGTGTCTTAAGACAGCTCTCCCTTTTGCTTCTCACTGGAATTATTTCTCATCTTTGAACTCATCCCATATAGAACTTTTAAGAAGTTTAATATTCTTTTGTCATTAGGTACTACAGTTTGTTTGGCCATTCCCCAATTAATAGGAAACTACTGTTTCCAGCTCTTTGTTGTACACAAAAATGTTGCATAAATATTTTGTTATACACAGTATCTTTCTTTCTATGTTGGACCTCCTTCAGGCATTATGCCTAGTAGTCAGATCTCTGTGACATTGCTGTCATTTTCTTGGCATAATTCTCAATTGCTGTCCAGAATTTTTAGACTAACTCATACCCTACCAACCTCCTTTTAGTGTTTTTGTCTTGCTGCCACTCATCCAACATTGTCTATTACTGTCTTTTATCGTCTTTTGTCAATTTGTTGGATCTGAGGTAAAATAGAGATTTCTGATCATGTGGCCCACTATTAAAAAAACTTAGTTGCCTCTGGTGTGCATTATTCCTTCCTCCTCCCATTCCCCTAGTTTCAAAGTTACTCTTTAGCTTTTCTGGTTTGGATCATTGGAAACACTTCTGTATGTTCCTAAATAAAAATTTTAAAATATTTACAAACAAACTGATTTTAAATTGCAAATGCAGCAGTTCTTTAAGAATGGCACACTTTAAAACTTTTTATTAATAAGTCAGTCACTGAACATTTATGTTTTTGTGTTTTTTTAGAGATAAGCCAGTCACAGATTTATTATTATTATTTTTTAGAGATAACCTTTTGAAAACGGTTACTAATCATCAGTTGGAAAGCCCGTTGTCTGGAATGAAGATTCTGGATGTTGGCTGTGGAGGTGGATTGTTATGTGAAGTAAGAACCAAATTAGTGGATAATTATCTCACTTATTTTTTCCCTTTTAAACCAAACTTAGAAGCCTAAGAGGGAGGGGAACAGATTTATACAGTATTCATTAAATATTTTTAAGAAACATTTGAATGAATGAATGATAATATACATCTTATGATGAGGGGGTAAGGCTGGGATTGAAAAAGTTCTTCTAACACAGTCTCCTAACTTGGCCATGGAATTATAATAGTTGACATTAAAGTTTGTTGCTATATTATACCAGGCCTTAGGGACTAGCAATGAACCTTTCATTCTGTATTCTGGGTACTTTTCTTATAGAACCCATAATATAGAAGAATCTTGATGAAACATTGTCCTTCTGGTCTCATGTTGAAAAATCTCGTGAAATGACATTGTAATTATTCTGCCAGATTTCAAGGGTATTAGTGTAATGGCATGTAAATAGTGAAGGTAAGAAGAAATCATTAGTTTATACCATGCTACCTCTCAAAACACCTTCAATCTAAAATGTTAGTTCTGAAACTAAATGTGAGATGATGAGACTGATATTCATGAGGGGCTCATGGGATTTTTGTATTTTTTTAATCCAGCTTTGTAAACACTAAGTAATTATAGCAACATAAAAGTGTATATGGCTTTTCTATAAAAATACTCATTGATTCCTGAAGGTGAAAAAGAGAACAGCTCACATCAAATGATTTCTCATCTTCAGAGGAAAGGGCAGTCCCCTAGAGTGGTTAAGAGAACTCAAAGACTGATTATGCCTTTACTTTAAAAATACATTAATACATAAACCTAGTATATTTTTTGTTGTTTGCCACTATGACTATAGAAAATAAATGTATTGCCATGTGCCCAGAGGCTACAGAAAATTCTTTTCATAATGTCTGACTGCTTTTTAGAAAATTATTAAAAATTTTAGGCTGATAGTACAGGAATCTCATTTTCTTTCAGAGGGTGACAATCCTTTTTGTCCTTAGCCTCTAGGGCGACTAGGAGCTTTGGTTACTGGAATTGATCCTTTGAATGAGAATATTAAAACAGCACAGCAGCACAAATCATTTGATCCAGTCCTGGACAAGAGAATCCAGTACAATGCATGTTCCCTGGAGGATATCGTAGAAGAGACTGTCGAAACTTTCGATGCTGTTGTAGCTTCAGAGGTTGTGGAGCATGTGAATGATTTGGAAACCTTTATTCAGTGCTGCTGCCAAGTATTAAAAGTAAGCATTGTTTTAGGTTGGCCAAAGGTTCTCTTCTGTTTATTTCTTTTAAGGAGCAGATACTCAAGCAGGTCTTGGAAGGGCAGAGGGTTTTTTGTGCATGTGGTAATAGATTTCCTTTTGCCACTGAAGCCATTCAGTCTCCAGCTTCAGCCCTGAAAGTCAAGCATGTCTTAGGGAGCTTGGCGGTGCCTCTTCTATCTGTATCTTTATGTGCTCTTGGCTTGGCCCTTAATATCGATACCACTCAGTAGAGAACTGATATCTTGAAACCCAGTTTGCTGACTCTGTTAGGCAATGCAAAGGCAGACACTCTAAAAACTTTTGGAGCCTAGTTTCTTGTTGAAAGTGAATGATCTTTGACAAATGCAACTTTGGAAAGCTATCCTCATTTATAGCAATATTCTTTCCTGTAATATTGATTAGGTTTAATTGGTTAAGCGGCGCTTTTGCAAAAATTCCAAGAACAATTGATTTGTAATCAGTTTAAAAAAATGACATCTGTTACAGTAATTTCAGTTATCAAATTGTATATGTTAAGCAACTCTGTACATATATATGGCTGTTCAAGATCCTGTGCAGACCAGCTCAATCTAGGCTTTGTAGTCTAAATATGTGTTCCAAAATTTCTTTTAACATGTGGCCACGTTGCATTGTATGCTACCTCTCAAAGTACCTTCAATCTAAAATGTTAGGTCTGAAACTAAATGTGAGATGATGAGATTGATATTCATGAAGGACTCATGGAATTTTTGTATTTTTTTTTATCCAGCCTTGTAAAGGCTAAGTAATTATAGCAACATAAACTAAGTCTTTCTGTGCCATGATCATTCACTTTTGAATTCTAAACAGTATTTTGTTCAAGAGAATTCCCTAGATTCAGGTGTGAAAAGAATGCAATGCTGTCCCCAATTTTCTTTCATTGCCCAAACTTCATTGCCCATAAGTACATGCATATATAAATGTGTAGCTGAAGTATTCCAGAAAAAAAAACTAGATAAATACATCTTCATTTCAGGAGCTAAAGAACTACTTTGGCTTTCACCTTCTGTTTATGTTCTCATTTCCCTTGTTGAACTTTCCATGCACAAATTCTGTAACTCTGAAGGAACTGACAGTAAATGCTTTCTCTTGCTGTGTACACTTTATTTCATCAGAAAAATCTTTTAAACAAAAATAATTACTTTTCCTCTATCAATTTCACTGATCTAGTGAAAGAGTGACTGTTAGTGAATTTAGGGAGATCTGCTCAGGTTGCTTTTTCTCCCATCAGTCAGAAAAGTAGTGCTATTCTTTCCCCAAATAGTGAAAGTATTAGGGAGAAATTGGATAAAAGTGATATCCAGAAACATATCTTCCTGTAATTAATTTGCATTTAAGTTCTTTGATTTCCCATATTGTTTGATGCATAGGAAAACATTACAAAGCCACATATAAATTACTTTGACTAATCTGTTATTTTGGGGTCATTTTTGCCCTTTTCTTTCAGCTCACATAATCTAGTAGACTATCTAGCAAAATCATGTTTTTCTAAAATATCATTTTAATAAGAATGCTGGAAACATGGAATTAGTAACTGAGAGAATCTTGTTTCGGGTCTGTCTAATGACCTGGCAGTAGCAAAATCTATCAGAGCCTCAGCTACTTTCTCTGAAGTTTAAAACCTAAGCTTCCATTGCATACTTGTTGAATTTCTTATTTAAGAAACTCATAAATTGAAGTTATATGTTCTTCTCATGAAGGAAACTAAACCTAATTGAATCTCTCTCCCAGGGTACATTTCTCAGCCATCATTCTATGACAGGGGCTTCCTTATTTTCTTACAGAAAATTATTTATTCATTTTCTATAGGAAATCCTTTTATAAATATGATATTTGTTGAAGCTCATCTCTTTATAACAGGATTGTGCTGTACATAAATTTTGCAGGTCAGTCAGTAATTTTTGCACAAGATGTTATGGAATACTGGTGCTTCATAGAGAAAAACATTATTAAGAGCCTGAGTTACTAATTAAAAGCCTGGCGGTAATGTGTAAAGTGCTTGTACTGAGGAATATTATTATTCTTTCAGTTTCATTTTCTAGGTTATTTTTTAAAATGTCTTTGATTCCAGCATTTTAAAGGTACCTTATTTTTTTAAAGTTTCTTTTTTATTGGAACTTCTATTTTATTGGAACTTAATCACTGATAAATACAAAAATTTAAGTATGCAAAGAACAAGAAAGAGAATTGTGTAAAAAATTAAGTTTCTGTTGTGTGTATATTTTTAGAAGATATATACACACACATATATCTACATGTTTTTTAAAAGACATATACATACACACATACATATATAATTATAAAATTTGACCAAACTGCTCTATTTGTTTGTATTACCTTATGTACTCTTCCCTTCTGGTCATTTAGAAATGGATGTTTTATTAATGCTTTTTTTTTTGCATATCAATCATTAATTCACTCACATACTACTCTCACCTCCTCCTACCTTAGTAGATGTCGTCTCTTATAACAGATGTATGCCTAGTCTAGCAAAACAAGTCAACGTGTGTCTGAGAATGCATATCTCATTCAAAATCTTGAGTTCCTAACCTATCTGTCAAGATGTGGAAGGTATCATTGTCAGTCTTAAAATCAGTATTGTTCACCGCTTTGATTAGTGTTCTGAGGTCTTTTAAAGTTGTATTTCTTCATATGTTCATTTTACTCAATATTAGTTTGCAAGAATCTTTGCATGTTTCTCAGAATCTTTCATATACGTAATTTCTCATAGTACAAAAATATTCGCTTACATTTATCTTACCATAATTTTTCAGCTATTCCCCAATTAAAGGGGACCTATTTTATTTCCTTTGCTACCATATAGAGAAAGAGATGCTATAGATATTTTTGTACATATGGGTTCTTTCCCTCTATCTTTGATTTCTTTGGTGTAGATGCCTAATAGTAGGTTTGCTGAGTTAAAGATTATGTTTAGTTTAGTGACATTTGGGGTATAATTGAACCAGTTCACAGCTCCACATGCTCATAGTGTATGAGTCTGCCTATTCTCCTACAAGTTTTCTAATCATTGCTATTTTCCTCTTATACTATCTTTACCAACCTGATGGGTATGAGGTGGAAGCTAAATATTGATTTAATTTGTTATCTTATTTTCAGATATTATTTTTCAGAATTCATGTGTCCAAAAATTAGAAAAAGTAACTGTGATTAGCTTTGTGAGAGTTGTGAATGCAGTGCTAATAAAAACCTCTCTTTGTATATGAAGGCCTTTGATAATGGTTAGAAAGAGTCAGATTTTCCCCCCAAGACCATGAATATTATTTTGATATATTATATTTTTCTTATATGCATCTCACCTACAATTATGCTGGTTTTGAACTTACCATGAAACAGTCTCAAACTTGTCACCTGACTGGTGCTACCTTCCCTTCTGAATTTTTTTAACTGCCTTATTTATTTATTTTGGTCTTCTTAGCCTGGAGGCTCTTTGTTCATTACTACAATCAACAAAACACAGCTTTCCTACGCCTTAGGAATTATTTTTGCAGAACAAATTGCAGGCATTGTACCTAAAGGAACTCATACCTGGGAGAAGTTTGTTTCACCAGAAGAATTAGAGAGCCTTTTAGAACCTAGTAAGTATTAAAACAATCTTACCAGCTTAAGTACAAATAATTCTTCCCAAAACATAAAACCTTTTAAAAAATGTGATTTTAATGAAGTCTTATAATTTACTCATTGCTATAAATGGGGTGACACATAAAGCAGTAAAATAGGGCCCAACAAATTCAGGAGGAACCAACTCTTAAATTGTGGAGGCGAATAGCTTTAAAAGAGAGAAAGACAAAAGAGATTTAGAAGGAAAAAAGCAACATGACTTTCTAGGGCATTGATCTCAATCCTAAATTGAGACCCAAGTTAGAGTTACGTAAGGCCTATAGAAAGGCCTCAAAATATCTTCCAGGGAACATCAAATAGAGATAACTGTGCAGTGTTGAGAGGAGAGCTGGATCTGGGACATGGGGTCCAGGATTCTGGTACTGGTTCTGTCTCTTAAGCTTAATCTTACACAACTCACTTAGATTCTCTAGGCCTAGTTTTAATCATCTGCAAGGGGCAGGCTTGGCCTAGTGCAGGATTCTTAACCTTTTTAGTGTCATGGACCACTTTGTCACTCTGGTGAAGCTATAGCCCTCTTCTCAGAATAAGGTCTTTAAAGATATAAAATACACAGGCGGCAAAGGAACCAATCATATTGGAATACAGTTATCAGAATATTAAAAAAAATAAGGTCATGGACACTACATTAAGAACCCGTGATCTAGTGGAAAGAACACTAACCTAGAGTGAAAAAATGCTGCCAGTTGATACTTATGTGACCTTGGGCAAGTGTCTTCATTTGTTTCTTTTATCTCCAAGTTTCCAAACTTGACCAGTTTCCTCACTTGTAAAATGTGACGGTTGGACTAGATTATCTCTAAAGCCTCTTACAATTCTCAGTCTATGAAAATTAGGGATTCAGAATGTATGCCATCTTGGGGTAGGGGGAGGGGTGAGATGGGGTAAAAATTTGAAATTCAAAATCTTGTGGAAGTAAATGTTAAAAACTAAAAATAAATAAATTTTTAAAAAAAGAAAAAGAAAAAATTAGGGCAACAGGTTAGATGACCTATAAGAGGCCTTCCAACTACTCATGTTCTATGATCCTAGTCACATTGGGCCAGGGCATTTCCTAGGTACTGTCAGCAGATGAAAGCCCTAGTATCTAGTTGCACCCCTCTTTATTCATTTCTCCACTCATTCACGTCCCTACAGGTATTGAAGTGCTTCTAGTGTTGGCAAAGCCTCAGACTAGTCCCTTAAGCTGCCTGTACTTAGAGGCGCTATTGGATAATATGGACTTCTTTTGTTTTTTAATATTTCATTTTTACCCCAATTACATGTAAAACAATTTTTAACATTCTTTTTTTTTTAAGTTTTGATTTCCACATTCTATCCTTTCCTCCCTTCCTTCCCCTCTCCCTGAGAGGGTAAGCAATCTGATATAAGTTATACATGTGCAAGCATGCAAAACATTTAAATGTTCTTCTTTTTAACAAAGGGTAGTACACCAAGAATGAATATGAGTGGGAAAAACCTTCAACAGTGTTGGACAAGTTTACACCAAAATACTATGATGAACCTGCTAGGCTTCATAGATACTTGGCCATTATTAAGCCATGATCAACTTATTTTGTGATCAATATACTTTTTTACAAATTTGTTATACATATTCAGGTTGCGATGTTAAATGTTTAATTTTAATGCTAAATGTTAAAATGTGTTAAAAACTAAATGGTATTTGGTGCGCCACTCTGGTGCAGGCCCTCATTACTTCACACCTTAACTACTGGAATAGCTGGCTGATGAGTCTACCTGGCTCAAGTCTCTCCCTACTCCAATCCATCCTCCATTCAGCCACTAAAGTGATTTTCCTAAACCTAATTATGTCACACATCCACCCCCCCTACTCCCCCCCCCCAATTCTAGTGGCTTCCTGTTACTTCCAGGAGCAAATACAAAATGCTGTGTTTGGCGTTCAGAACTCTTCATGACCCTAGGTCCAATCTTCTTATACCTTATTCTCCAATACATACTCTTCAATCCAGTGACATTGGCCTCCTGGCTATTCTGTGAATAAGACATTCTATTTCTTGGCTCTGTGCATTTTCTCTGGCTGTCCCCCATGCCTAGAATATTCCACCTTTTCTCCTCTGCTTACTGACCTCCCTGCCTTCCTTTAAGTCTCAACTAAAATCCAACCTTCTACAGGAAGCTTTCCCTAATCCCTCTTTAATTCCAGTGCCTTCCTTTTATTAATTATTTCCTATTTAATTCTGTATATAGCTTGCTTTGTCTATATTTGTTCAAATATTATCCCCCTTAGATAGTAAGCTCCTTGAGGGCGGGGGCTTTTACCTCTTTTTGTAATCCCAGTGCTTAGCACAATGCCTGGCACATAGTAGGTGCTTAATAAATGTTTACTGAATTGAAATGAATTTTATAGTCCCAATTAGAAATGGTTTGTTTTTTAGATTCATTTTGTACTGTTTTTAAAAATCAGATCTAAGAAGCTATCTTTATAGAGGTCTCCTCTTAGGTGAGCTCTTTTTTCTAATTGATTAGAAAGTATGGCTGTCTGTACCATTTAAGAAGAGTTATATGGGTATTATTTCAACCTTGCTTTTTTATTACTGGTAGTTACATCAACATTCTAAGAACTTTGTTTGTTATAATTTATTAAATTAGTTTTGTGATTTTTTTTAGATGGTTTTTTGGTCCAGACAATAACAGGAATGCTGTACAATCCTTTCTCAGGCTACTGGAGATGGACTGAAAATACCAGCCTTAACTATGCAGCTCATGCCATTAAATCTAGTGCACCAGTGGAAACTGAAGAGCACCATACTAAAACTCCTGGCATAGATGGCCAGGAAGCATCTCAGAAATGAATCAGTTCTATACATTTTAGTAATGTTACTTGCTAGTCTAATGTTTCTGAAGGTAAAAACTTTTTAAAAATTAACTTTCTAGAAGGAATCATGTAGGAAAAGAACAAAAACACAGGAAAAAAGTTTTTATTCAAAATTATAGCTACCTTCACATGCCTGTTTTAACGCTAAAATCTTGGTTTTGCTAAAGTAATATATAAGCTTAGAGGGCTTTCTTCAGGTTTGCATGTCTTCTCATTCTTAAAAAATATAATCTATATTTACTTTAAACATTTCACCTTACAGAAATGTTTAGTATCAAATTTTATCTTTGTCTTTAATTATAAAAAAATGCATCATGTTTCTCTTTTTTTTAATGTTAGTTTTAAACTGTCATGCAACTGACAGCAAAGATTTGGCAGATTTCTCCAGAGCACATGCTTTATGTCAGATATATTTGGAAGATAGATGGAGGTTTTCCCAGTACATTGCAGCTACTTCTTGGGATCTCGAGATTTTTTGAAAATTTAGTGTAATTTTTTCAGTGAACAAAAAATTTATTTGCTCTCCCCACACTCTTGTCTCACTGGAAAAAAAAGAAAAAGAAAAACAAAGCCTTTGTAACAAATGTGTATAGTAAAGCAAAACAAATTTTCACTCAGTCCACTAGCTTTCTATCAGGAGGTAGGTAGTATGTTTAACTGCGTTGCTCAATGTTCTTGAGTCTTGTAGATTTGCCTGTTTTTACAGTGGTGTTGTTTTTTATATAAATTGTTCTGGTTCTGCTCATTTTACTCTATAGTGGTTCATGCACGTCTTCCCAGGTTTCTTTGAAATTGTCCCTTTCATTTCTTATGACATAGTATTCCATTACATTCATAAACCATAATTTGTCCTGCTATTCCCCAATTATTCAGGAATCCCACCCCCCCCAATTTCCAGTTCTCTGCCATTACAAAGAGCTGCTACATTTTTGTACATGTGAGTGCTGCTGGAAAATAGGCACATAAACGCATTGTTGGTGGGGCTGTGAATTTGTCTAGCCATTTTGAAAAGCCATTTAGAAATATGCTGTGTAAAAAGTAACTAAGCTGTGCTTATTCTTTGACCCAGCCATATCAGTACTAGGCCTATACCCCAAAGAGATCAAAGAGAGACCTAAGGATTTTTGTAGAAGCAAAAAACCAGTTAAGGGTGCTAAAAGCAATCACCTGTTACTTGGCATATTTTCACTCACATGAGGGAGGGCCTTGTGACAGCTTTAAATATGTAAGGTCATAGGTTGGGAAGTAGAGAGTAGATATGCCTTGCTTCATCCCATGATACAAAGATAAAATTTGACCTCCAGAGTGGCAGGATACATGCATAACTTAGCCATCTTTGTCTTATATAAGATGATGGAGAGAGGAGAGAGAAAGAGGATGTATGATTATGTGGAAAGCTCTCTCCTGACTCCAAATCCAAATTATTCCAGGTTCTTGCCCCTCTTCTCAGTTTGATGTGGTCACCCCAGGTCACTGCTCAAGAATATGGGAAAGGGCCAGGAGTTTTATAGCAAGGGGCAAGGTCTTGTTTTAGTGCAATTAGTCTCCCAATTGTCTGTTACAAGTAGATAGGTGCTAATTAGCTAAGAAAAAGAAAGGGCTCATGTCTGATGCAGAAGCAGCCTATAGGAAGAGAACCTAGACCCCACAAATGAAACCTGTTTTGGATTAGCATAGGGTTTTTTTTTCCTTTTTGGATAACTATTGCTTCAGTATTAAAATTAAGTTTCAACTTTGAAGTTTAGATACCACTAAATACAGTTTTTTATAGAAATCCCACAAATGTTCATTGTGACAAGTGATCTATACCCCTTGAAAAGGGTTTTAAAATAATTCATTGTACAAATTGTGTTTTTAAAAAAGCACATGAATTTTACTTCAAACTAACTAACTCTTAATTATTCTTTGTCAGATATAACTAGTGAGTGAAAAAAACTCCTTTTGAAGTACATTCTGAGTTAAATACTATATGAGGTTAGGGCTGGGTGTATGATTTTGTTGGTATGAGGAATGGAAGACTCTCCTAACAGTGCAGTCTAACCCCTTCTCTGTAATTTAGAGCCTGAGATACCTCCCTAGAGCATTGAGAGGTTAAGTGCTTTGGCAAGGGTTCACAGCCAATATGTATCAGAGGGAGGACTTGAATCCAGGTCTTTATCACTTTGAGACTAGCTCACTATCTGCTACATTGTGCTATCTCTCACATACTGTATACTAAATATTTTAATTGGCAGATGGACACCAAGAAATAATAGAATGTCAGCTTAATGCCATTAAGTACACAGTGAAGAATAATGTTACATCTAGATGGTCAGTTTGTAACACTTCAGTACTTTGATTTTTTTTATCAACAGTGTAATATTCATACACTTCAATCATTTGGGGATGCCAGTAGTATTTGAACTGTCTACAGTCACGAATGGGGCAACTAGGTGTCAAAGGGAATAGAGTGCCAGGCCTAGAGTCAGGAAGACTTATCTTCCCAAGTTCAAATCTGGCCTCAGACATTTACTAGCTGTGTGACCTTGGGCAAGTCACTTTAACCTGTTTGCCTGGGTTCCTCATCTTTTAAAGAGCTGGAGAAGGAAATGGCAAACCACTCCAGTATCTTTGCCAGGAAAACCCCGAATGGGATCACAAAGAGTTGGACACGACTGATACAACTGAACAACAAAAACAGTCGGGAATCTTTTTAAGTATTTTGTTTGTGAGTCATTTTTAGCTTTACTGTAATAGCTTCCATCTGCAGCCTTTCAGTATAATTTCAAATGAGATTAAGTCACATCAACATACTTTTTTTCTTTAGCCATGCACTACTAAATGAGGGGATTAAAAAAAAATTAGAAGTGCTTACTTCCTTATCGACCCTTATTGAAGCTGTGGTTCCTAAATGTAGTAACTGCAAAAATGATGCCAATAACAATAATCATCAATTATCAATTTTTTTCAAAGTTTTATAAATGCTTTTTGTTTTATGTCACTATCATTTTCCAATATACACTCACTACATCGAATCTTCCCTTGTAGCAGAGAAAAAAGTTAAGCAAAACAGCTTCTACAAAATTCCTCATGTAGAATCCTTCAGTCTTCCTACCTAAGAGAAATGTATTTCATCACCTCTTCTCTGAGACCAGTATTAGTCATGGCAATAAGAATTTGGTTCTGTTTTATTGTTACTTGTGATTTACTTTGAAAGAGGTAGTTTACTAAAAAGTTACTCTTTCTTCACATAATTAAGATTGATCCTGGAGAAAATTTTAGCCAAATTTGAATGAAAGGACAATGGGCACAATAGGCATCATAATTTTTTTCCTCTTAAAATGAGTATTTCTAGCGAGTTGGCTGCACCTAGGGGATCCTAGCAGAAAAAGAGGTAGCTTATATATAATAAAAAAGTATAAGATATCTTTTAAAGGCAGTGATTTAGGAATTATAATTTAAAGAAACTATAGACAGTGGCCAATATCAACACAAGCATACATGTCCCTGATAGCATGACATCTTTCACAAAGGAAAGGTTACCCGAGTTGGAAAAAGACATAATGGAAGGACACAAGATTTTTTTTTGGGGGGGAAGACTGTCCTGCTAGCTATGCCAGCTGTGGGGACACATGTAAGGGGGCTGATTGGTTCTGCCCTGACATGCCAATTGTAGGGATGTAGACCCTCCAAGAGGGTACTGAGAGATACCAAAGAAAGAGGGGCCCATGCCAGCTTTGTAATAAATAGGTTTTTATTAGGGTTAAGTTAATTGGGTTTTTTAGGGGAGTTTACTCATGAGACCCAGTCGTTGGTGGCAGGAGTACAGAATGGTCTAATGGATCCCCCCACCAACTCTTGGCCAAGTCAGATATGGAGAAAAAACAAAGAAGGCATAGTGCCAGAGATGGCCCATAGTCACATGCAAGTGTTTTTCTGAGATAGTTGGAACTTCTTTTGCTGTTTATATTTACTCAAGGTAGTTTACATTAACAGACTCCAGGTCACATTCCTAGGCTCTGGCACTCCCACTGTACGGATAGTAGTAATGATAAATGGCTGGAGATTTTAATGTTTGTTTCTGGGAACTAGGCAAATCTAGGGGAAAGATAAACAAAAAGGAGACTACAGAACTAAGCAAATGGAGTATTTAAAGCTGAAAGACATGACAAGGGGAACAGTAAAAAATAAGCATATTTCTCAACACCATGTAATGCCCTTTCAAAAACAGATCATGTTCTAGGGCACAGATAATTTATACATAATTCTAAAAAAGCAGAAATACTAGATATTCTTTATAGATCATAATTGCAAGCAAAAGATAAAGACCTAAGTGGAGACTTAATGATAGCATCTTGAGTAATGAGTGGGTCAAAAAACAAATCAGAAATAATGACTATAAAAGGTTATTATCATAATTTCTGGGAGGCAGATAAAACACTCCTCAGGAACTTCTGGCCAAGATAGTTTCCTGAACAAAGGTAGACTACCTTCATCCCATGTACTTAGTCCTTCAGAAACCTGAAATTTGAGAAACTAGAGTGTCTTTCCACCCCAAAACTGCAAAAAGCCAGCCAGATGCCTATGGACAGTAGAAAAGTGGGAGACCAGCAAAGCCAGCTCAGGCAAACAAAATGGTAGTCTTTCAACAAAGCCAGAAGTAGCCAGAAATATTTGTAGATAGTAGGGTTCTGTTCATAGGTGGCAAGAATGGAGGGCTGAAATGAGAAGGCCCCAGGATGGTCATAATGCTCCAGCATGAGAACATTGGAAGCACTGGGGAGTGGTAATAATTAATGTGTCATGGCAGTGCTCAGACTAAGACAGCCCAGGTACCCAGGAGTACTGAGCTTCCTTAGCATTCTATTTTTATATTTTTCTTTCCTTTTCTTTATTTTAGGCAATTGGGGTTAAGTGACTTGCCCTGGGTAACACAGCTAGTAAGGGTCAAGTGTCTGGTCTGAGACCAGATTTGAACTCAGGTCCTCCCGACTCCAGGGCCAGTGCTCTATCCACTGTGCCATGTAGCTGCCCCTTTTTTAAAAAAAAATATTGTTTTTTCCCCAATTACTGTAAAAACCATTTTTAACATTAGTTTTTTTTAAAGTTTTGAGTTCTAAATTGTATTCTTCCTCTCTCCTCCTCCCTCCCTGAGATGGTAAGCAATCAGTTACAGGTTATTGATGTGCAATCATGTAAAACATTTCCATGTTATTTTGTGCAAGAAAA